GAAGGACATCACAAAGCTGAAGGAGGATATAGCCAAGTGGAAAGAGGAGATCAGCAAGCAGATCACTCAGCAAATGGAGTAAGAGGACGGGACAGGGTTTAGTACCCTATAGGGCTGCAAAGAAGCCCAGAGGGCCTGGGAGCATCCTGGTTTGGGGCTAAGGGACATTGTCCAAGCAGCACTGGGGAGGCTAAGCCTGTCCCTGCCCCCATCTCGCTGGTCAGGTCCGTTCTGAAGGAGACAAAGAGTGAGCTGATGAAGATGGAGGAGCAGCAGATGATGAGAAATTCCATGCTGGAACAGATGGTGACTGAGATGGCCAACCAGCTGAATGCTCAGGTGAGGTGCTGGGTGTTCACTCCCACCACCCGCGGGCTCAGTGGAGGGATCCTGACAGTGTTCCCAGCCCCATCCCCCAGCTGGCTGGGGCCATCGAGCCCACAGCACCCAGGGCTACTGGTTGCATCCATCCCATCTCTGAGTGGATTCCTTCTGCCTTCCCTGCAGCCGTGCGAGCTGGGGGAGATAGTGGGGATGGTGCAGGAGGAGGAGGAGATGGCAAAGGCAGCGTGCTCCAACTGCACCTTTGACTACAGAGTGCTTTGGGGAGGGGGCTGAAAGGTATCTCCTGAATGGCTGTGCACTGCTCTAAAATGTAGGGGATCCCTTGCTGCCCCAAATTGGCTTGGACTAGGCAGTACCATGGAAGGAAATTAAAACCTTGGTGCAAATGTCCCACTGACACTGAGGGCTCGTGGCCACTGGCTGAGTAACCCAGGTTTTCCTGTGCCAGGAAAACAGACCCCCTTTACTCAGCACCACTTTTTCTTCTCCCCTGGAGCAGGACCAGGAGCTGCTGCAGAACATGGAGGAAACATTCCGGAAGATTCAAGAAGACTGTGACAAACTCAGATATGTCTCTGTGAGCCTCCAGACAGACTGCCAGCTAAAGCAGAAAGCTATTGAGGTGGGTGGCTGGAAGTCCAACATAGTGTATCTCCTAGGCAGACTCCAGCTGGGGGACCCCAAGAAATCTGTCCCCCTGCCCACCCCGTCACAGCCTTGAGCGTGTTCCAAGGGTGTTTCTCAGAGGATTTTGGGTATGGGGAGCAGGGGGTGCCAAGCTGAGCAGGAGGCAGCTCCAACCCTACTGCGGTTTCATGGGCTGCTTTCTGTGTTGAAAGACGCTGTTCCAGTCCTTGGACACACTGAAGAAGGAGAAGGCAGACGAGCAGAACATGTTGATGGCAATGGACATGGTAGAGTCTC